CTGCTGAATCACCAGAGAGTTTGTTTCCCTCAGTTGTCTGATCATGTTTAAGCATCAGCTGCATCATCCATAGTTTATTCTCATTGAACAATTTTTTACATTTTGCTCCTTTCCTGAAACTTTTTAAGGAGCTGTGTGGTTCCTTGGTGCACAGGCTTTTCCTGTGTTGGGAATGTGAAGTGACAATTTTAGAGATCTTTCTTGGCTCCTTAGTTATGAGGATGGAGGTGTAGAGGGTTTTAATGTTTTTTATTTATTTGTTTAATTTTTGGACATGTTAGAGTTTTCAGAAACCACCCCCTCTTTTAGATATGTGGAGATAAATGTCCAGAATAATTCATAAATTTTACAACTTTTATATGCCCCTTGAAAATAAATCTTTAATCTGAAATTCTGAGCAGGGAAACCACCAAAGACTTAGATTTTTAGTGTATCATTGTTCTTAAGATTAGATTTCCTCTGCAGGGCCTAATGAGAAGGGCCTGGTGAATGATCATTTTCATTTTAGAACAGGGATAGCTTTTAGAAAATGAGTAGGGGAGTAGGAGAAGAATAATCAGTGCAAATCAGAAAAGAGTAACTGGTGGAAGGGAGTCTGGTGGTAAGGCTGGTGCTTGTGTTGGTGTGTGTTCCCTCTGAGGAATTTTAACTCCTCAGAACTCTCTCCAGTGTGCACAGAACATGGGGTGTTTCCCTCCAGTCATGTCATTGTGCACAGAGATACTTTATAAGCCTTTAGACATCCTGCACTCTTTGTGTTCTACATCCTTCTCCCAAGCAACAACCTAACTATAGTTTCAATCTTCAATATCCTTCTCTGACAGATGTTTTCTGGCAAATGTCTTCCTGCCTTAGTGAACCACCCCTCAAGAAGCAACAGGACACCTGCAGGAAGTGAATCAAGACTCTGGAGCAGAAGAAAAAAAAAAATCCTCACCTGCTTTAAAATAAAAATAAACAAATAAAGAAATAAAAGTACTGTTGGGAAAAAGAAAAAGAAAAAAAAAAAAAAGGAAGGAGAAGCATTTCTTTCTGTTTGTTTCTAGGTGTAAAATTTTAATAATTAATGCAGAATTCTGTAATCATAGTGGCTAATGTTTGAAAAAGCTATTGCAGTGAGTCTGTGATGTGCTCGTACAGCCTCTCCCTGGCCGTGTCTGTCGTGCTGTGGGTCGCCTGAGCCTGTCCCTGGGGCCAGCAGGGGACACACTTGCTTTAGTTCCTCCTCCTCCTCCTGGCCCCGGGCTCTGCTCTGGCCTCTGCAGCCTGCGCAGGGAGCACAGGGCTGGAGGGGTGGCAGTGGGAGGACAAGGGGTGACACTGCTGTGAGGAGAAGGGGTGGCAGTGGGAGGACAAGGGGTGACACTGCTGTGAGGAGAAGGGGTGGCAGTGGGAGGACAAGGGGTGACACTGCTGTGAGGACAAGGGGTGGCAGTGGGAGGACAAGGGGTGACACTGCTGTGAGGACAAGGGGTGGCATCTCTGAGGCTGCACCTTTCTGCTGCTCACACCCAACAGCACCCATGCTGGCTGAGGCTGGGAGGGTCCCTGCAGGGCAGACCCTCCGGGTGCCCTGGGGACAGGGGGTTGGTTTGAAGGCAGCACAGACATTGATTTTTTTACCAGTCTGTATCCTCAGTGTTGTCCCATTCTTCACTTCCACACTCCCTACTTTTCAGGCTCTGTAGAGATTTTCACAGCACACCTTGGTAGTGTGAAAATGAAAGATCACATTGCAACTTGTATAAAACAATTACCTTGCAAAACAAAGGCCTTTTTTTTTTTTTTCCCCTCTCTTTTTTTTTTTTTTTTTTCTTCCCCTTTGGCTTGGGAATTTTGAGACAATTCCTAACATACTTGTAATTCTTGCTTTTATAATTTGTGTTAGCAGAGACTATGATGTGTTATAACTGTAGATTTAACGTGCACTTTTGTGCTTTCTGCCAAGTGGTAATTCACTTTGGAGTTTTACTATGTTAAAACTGTAAATATAGCAGAACATTAATAAATGTCACTTATGTAGCAATTTGGGCTGTGGAGCACAGTGTTTGTTTAGTTTCAATGCTTCATTGCACCTGGTTATTGATTACAAATGGAGATTATCTGTGGGAATTTCACTACTTACCCATAGAAGGTGTAACACAAATCTCCACTTCAAGGTGTCTGTTTCCAAACCCCAAGACAGTCCCCAAGGCCAAGTGGGCAGGTCAGGAAAAGGCAATTCTGTACATTCTGGGGGGAAGTGCTGGGTTTTTCTTAGTCTCACATCTATAAGCTCTCTTCCTCCTGAAAGAGTTTGTTCGTGGTTTTAGTTCATGGCTGAACTTCCCACACGTGAAGCCCTTGCAAACAAGCAGTTGGGGCTGACACAGACGGATGGAGGTTACACAGAAACTGCCTTTTTAAACAATAACTGTACACAGAATTATTCCATTTATCCTGCAAGGCAAAATCTGCAGCATTAGGGAACTCGGAATCACATTTGCCCAAACTTGGTAGGTCAGCCTTGTGTTTACTCTCTAGGCATCTGGGCCTTATTTGGTCTTGTATATTCAGAGAACTGGAATATTTGGGATTCCTGTTTCTCTTCATCCGGTGGCCTGAAGCTGCAGGCACCTCCTGCTCCATCCTTCCCTGCGGGGCTGTGCTGGGAGCGGGCGGGCAAAGGACCCCGAGGAACCCCCCTCTGTGCTCAGCCAGGGCTGGCACTGCCTCCAAGCTCAAATCAGCCTGGGTCTGTGACAGCTCAGCCCCTTTATGCCATGGAAGTGGCAGGTCTGTGGCCACCCCAGTGACCAGGTCCCCTTTGCCTTTCCCCATGGCACGTTCTCGGCCGGGTGGTTTTCCCCTCACAGCAGCATCAACTGAGCAGGTCCCAACAGGGCTCAGACCTTTGCAGAAGACACAGCAGTGGGGTTTTCCTGGAGCTTGCTGGGGGGGTGGTTTGTGTCACCTCCTGTTCTGTGTGTGCCTGCACCTCAGAAACCTCAGCCCATGGCCCTGCCTCCCCTCACCCCCTTGGTTTCGATTCGTTTGCGTTTTGATAACCCTGGAATTTCTGGGCCTGTCAGCATCTCAGGTCCAGCTGTGACGAGCACAGTGAAGTGCTGGGATGCAGCCCCTGAGCGAGGGAGTGACCCGAACAAATGGCCCATCCCTCCTTTGGCCATTGGCCTTGGAGGGGATGGCAAGAAATGCTAACAGAGCTTAAGATTCTGCAGATAATCACACTACATCTAAGAACCTCACCATTTCTACGCAAGGAGGACCGAGCTCCTTTCACCTCACTGTGCCTGGAAGAGGGATGGAGGCTTTGGGTGCTGGTGCAGGTTATTCCACCATAAATCCCCAAGTGGTTACACTAGTGAAACAGTCCTGCACAGACAAGCTGGGCTGTGTTACAGGAGTCGTTTTCTTCGCCCTGGTTTGTGCCATTGATTTTTACAAGTATTTTCCAATCGTTTGGAAGTTGCTCTAAGGTTGTTTTTCCAGGTATTGGAAGAAGTGCATCTTGAGATCTTATTTCCAGTTCCCATGAAAGAAGGAAAAGCAGCCCGAGGGGGGAAGGATCAGATGAAGGGAGAACAGCACGTGCTGGAGGAAATGAAATGTGCCGACAGAGAAGGTGGGAGGGCCATGGAGGGCAGGGATGGGATCAGCCCCTTGTCCGGACGCTCCAAAGATCGGTGCTAATTGTCCCATCCATGAGAAACTGAGGATCATGCTGAGGAACAAGACCACTAGGTGGGAGACCTCCCACTTGCTTAAAAAAGACTTTCCCCTCTTCCCTCTTGCTCTAGCTAATACACAATTGTATTTCCAAGAAGTCGACAAATATTGCTAGATTTACACATGATTTTTGTAAACCTTTCCCCTTTACTGCCCAAGTCCTTTCCCAGCAGGAAAATGCTGGGATGAGTCGATCGTGTTGTGTTTGGGGCACAAAAACCCAGCAACTTTCTCCCCCCTGCAAATACTTCTTCGCTGGTTCTCTTTTTTAAAACTCAAACCAACACATTTTCAAATTCAAACCCCCAACACTCAGGATAAGAATTTCCATTTTGTTTTTTTTTTCCTTTTTTTTTTTCTTTTTCTTTTTCCTGAAATTTTTAGGGAATGGACAAACATTGGTCAGGGAAGGAAAATATCAGAACACGAGGGTTTAGTAATGGTTGAACATAAAAAAATCCACCCCTGGATGGTTCCTAGAAACTATTTTTAAATTGTAGGACTTAGATAAAAGCCCTGTTTTGCTAAGCTTAAATAAGTTAATAAAACCTAAACGAACTGGATGTAAGAAATAAAGCAAAAGGTGGGGATCTCTGCCCAGGGCTTGGAGTGTCAGGAAGGGATTGCACCAGGAGCTGAAACCTGCAGCAGCCCCACAAGGAGTAACACACTGTCTGTGTCCCAGAGCCAAGCAGACAAACATGCAAAAGAGCTCTGGGCTGCTTTTATACAGACTGAATTATTCATCAGGTTCTGCTAAGTAAAGGAACAGTGTTTCTGGAACACCCATCACCTCTCGGTGGGCTCTGAACTGTAACCTTGGGTGTTTGGCAGCTGGAGCCACCTGAGCATCAGGAGATGGTCCTTGGAGCATCCTCTGGGCAGCGGTGGGTGTGTGCAGGGGGTGGGCGAGAGCCAAGTGCCCCCTGCCCGTGGCATCCCCTGGAGCAGTGTCACCTGGGGCAGCTGCTGGGGCTGGAGGCAGCATGAGGGGGGGGCTTCGTGGGCTGGAACACCCCGAGCCCATGGTCACACAGCACACGGACAGAGCAGGCGGCAGGTCGAAGAGCCGGTGAGAGGAAAAGCCCATCCTCAACCAGATTCCGTGTTTGGTTTTGTTGTTGCTTTAACCGAAGTGGCCGGAGCGCAGTAATTAAAGGCTCAGTGGCTTTAATTGGAATCGGTTTAAACGCGAGGTCAAAATCCCTTCTGGCACTTCCTCTTCCTAATAACCATCAACAGAAACCAAACAAATCCAACCGGCTCCAGCCCCTTAATCTGCAACCAGCCAAG